AAATAAAGTTACAAATTAATGAAAAGCCACATAAAACGTAATAAAACTATATATTAGATTAAACAATAGAAATATTATATTAAATTATTAAAAATTTACTATTAGAAAGAAAGGGAAAGACTATTTGAATTTGAGATTAGAATGTTCTTAAAACTATGTTGAGAATGCTCAAACTATGGAGAATACCACGAAATTGAAGTCTTATTTATGAAAAATAAAAAAACAAATACATATTTAAAAATACATAATATAGGTACTAATGAAAATTAGAAATTAAATTTGAATCATAAAACTAAAAAAGAAAAAAAATTACGAAAAGAAATAAAATGACAGTGAAAATATTACTACAATTTAGATATAATGTGTTCAAACAATTAAGAAAATATTTTCCTATGATTAATATCTGAATTGAGTGCAGTTAGTTTAAGTTTGAAAGCGTAGCATAATATTTTGAAAATGCGGTCCAATTTACAACATAGAATGATAAGAATTATTTAAATTTAAGATGAGATTTTTTTTATTTTTGAAAATATCATGTAAAGAAATAAAACAGTAAAAATATTACTACAAAATTAAGATATAATGTGTTCAAACAATTAAGAAATATTTTTCTATGATTAAATTAAAATTTTTAAAAATATAAATTAATTTCTAATATAGGTAATTTTACTAATGATAATTAAAAATTAAATTTGTATCTTAAAGCTAAAAAGAAAAGAAAATTTAACTGCATCTAATACAAAAATAATTATAAGAGAACTCAATATATTTGGAACGTAATAATCAAATAACTTATGTATTAATATTTTAGACTAATTCAAAGTTACAATTTAAAAGAAAATATGATATTATTTTGGTTATAGGTAAAATATTAATATAAAAACTATTTAAAATATAGTAGGGAAGAGATGTATAAAAAAATAAGGTAATGTGATTTATACTTTAAATTAATTGGAAAATTAAATAATTAAATTATATTTAAAAATATTAATGATAAATTTAAATGATTAAAAAATTCTGAATAAGAGGGTACAAACATAAAAATATACCAAATTTCAAGAATAAAATATTTATATTTATTAAAGACTGTTAAAAAGATAATAAGCAAGATATTAATTAAATTATTAAGCTAATAAAAAATTATATGACGGTAAAATAATATTAAATAGTAAATAATACAATAACTATAAGAAAAGAACAAAAATAAAAAAGAATTTGCATAAAATGATGTGATGAATAAGACATATTTAACTTTCAGTCAAAAACAAAGTGATAATAAGAATTTTCTTAAAATAATATGATATAATATGCTCAAACAACACAAATCACAACATGACATATTTAGTATTTTTTAATATTGACACTGAAACGAAATACAAGTACTAAAATCAAGGGATTAGGTTGCTACAAATAAAATAAAAGTTGTCTACTACAAGATTTGAATAATTATTTCATATCTTGCTTCAAAATTAATATCTAATGTTATATAATTTTTATATGAAAGGTTTGTATTTTAAGGTTATTTGCAAATAATTCAAACAACATAGATTACAATTTGACATAATTTATGTTCGCGCATCGCATAGGTACTAATACTAGTTCTTTTTTTAACAAGAAAAATATATAAAAAAAATAGTTGGGACAAGATGGTGGTTGTGGAGATATAGTTATAAATGGAATTCAAGACAGACTTGTGAATTCGATCGGCTATTCACATAAGAGTATTAAAGACTTAAGATCTATGGATTCAACTTTAAATTATTAGTATTAATCCATTATGTATATTTTTAAAATTATAAATTTATATCTATTATTTATTGTAATTTTAATAGATTTACCCGGTAACTTATCCGCCCGTTGTTATCCAACTATTCGTTTATATTCATGTGAAACATGAGTATTATGAATAGTTGATTTAATGCTATCATATTAATAGGTCTTTTTCGTTGAAATTTTCTTGCTCTTTTCTTTCCAGTAGAAGATAAGACATCAAATGATCTAATCAGACTTTACTATCATACGCCAACCAAATCATCATGATTTAGATAAAATCTAAAACTTCTACAAGTTACTTGAAAGGTAGAAGTTAGGCAATACCACTAAGTGGCGGAGTCAGGATCTCCACGAAGGGGTTTAAAAAACTTTTTTGTATTTAGTGGGAATTGAATCCATGACTTTATGTAGATTTTGAACCCCTTGACCATTAAACTACACTTTTGGATTGTGTTAAGGGGGTTCAAAACTTAATATATAAAGGTAAAAAATAGATTTTGCCTTATATATACAGTGTAATATTTCGACGAAGAGGGTTCGGGTGAACCCCTTGCGCTCCTAAATCCGCCCCTGATACCACTTCTCTATATATGTGTGTGTTGGGGGGACCTACATAATAAAATAAAAGAAACAAAAAGAAAAAAATTGATGGGAAGAAAGAGTGGCAATGGTAGGCGTGCAATTTGCATTTGCAAATAGCAAAAGCCAAATCTTATTCTGATAAGGGCAAATCTGATTTTGTAAAATCAAATTCGATTGATTGTCTGGATGTTGAGGCTTGCTATAAATAGAAGCCTATGTTCTTCGTTTTAAGTACACCAAAACGAGAGAAGGAGATAGGAGAGAGAGTTTGTGAGATAAATAGAGTGAGAGTAATATTATAATGAGTTAGTGTTATTTCTTTTGAAGTTGTAGTAGTCTCTTGACACTACCAAATTTTAATATTATTGGGGTATTATATTGTTCCGCTCGAGTATTGTATTTTATCCCATTAGAAGATATGGTATAGTTACTCTTTTGTATTATTTACCGTGAATATTATTCCCGAGCGAGATGTTATTTTTCCCAACAATATATATATCTTGCAAGGACACATGCATGTAACTAAAAAGGAAGTTAAAGCTAATTAAGTGCTAAGCTCATACACTTATAATTAAACGGCCGTTTTCCATAACTGGAAATGGTAATGGCGACAATCATCTCTGCATCAATTATTAGCAAACCAATTTTAATTTGGACATTACAGGTTCCAAAATCCTGCAATATTTCTAATGCTCAAGCTGCCCCTCTTAGACGATCTGGAAATTATCAGCCTTCTATTTGGGAGTATACTCAAATTCGATCATTGAAGAACCGATATTCGGTAAGTTATTACAGTCAAACCTCTCTATGACAGCCTCGTTTGTTCCAGATATATTTAGATGTTATAGCGAATTGCTGTTATAGAAAACATATATTATAACAGAACATGGCATTTGGTTCGGAAAAAATTAGATTTTATAGTGAAGTGTTTTATAAGGATATTGTTATAGAGAGGTCTTATTGTATTAGCTGTATTAATTAAATCTATATAATCTTTTTCTTCTTCTTCTTTTCCTCTCATGCTAAATGCTACTTAATTAATAAGCATATGTATGGAATTTGTAGGGCGAGAAATTTATCAGACGACGCGATGAGCTGAAGATGGAAGTCAAGATTATGCTTAGTGATCGTAACATGAAGCCATTGGATCAGTTAGAGATTATCGATAATTTGCAAAGACTTGGATTATCCTATAACTTTGAGGATGAAATATACAGCATTCTGAATTACGTATGTGACAAAATTAGCATAAGTAACGGAGATTTGTATGCTAAAGCTCTTTCATTTAGGCTCTTGAGACAACACGGGTTTAACATTTCACAAGGTGCTATATACATTATATTTCTCTTCGTTTTTTTCTTTATGTATTTGGTAGTCGAAACTCACTGATCCGTCTAATCCGAATTCACGTCGCCCACTAAAAAAGCAGTGGTCTTGGTATAGTATCTACTTTTTCTCTCTCCTTTTTCTTGTGTGTGGGGGGAGGCTTTATGCATCTACAAGAAGGTGTGAAGGTCGAGGATTAAGGTCGTGGGTTGACAGGTAGTCGAGAGTTTCTCTTTGACTTACCAGTAGTATTAGCGCCAGTCTTGCATTTTCTAATTCCAATAGTTCCTTGTTATTATACAGTGCATCAGTCTCACATGTAGGATTGGCATTATTCTTGTATTTTAGTATTCCTAGATCTTTGTTATTATATGTTTTGTCATTTGCTTCCGTTGCCTATTACATGTTGTTGCTAATATATGTTTATTGTTTCCTTTCACTCTTATTGAGCCGAGGATCTACCAGAAATAGTCTCTCTACTTTCATAAGGTGGAGGTAAGGTTTGCGAACATATATATTATCATCCTCAGACCCCACTTGTGAGATTCTACTAGATTTGTTAGTGTCAGATGTTGTATTCCAAGCCCAATGGGTTGCTAATTCTCATTCACGCCACGTATGGATGCTAAAAGGGAAAGACTTCCTACCATGAATTTCTCCACTCCTAAGGATCGAATCATACAATACTATACAATATATGGTTTTTGGTTGCAGAAATATTTGATGGTCTTAGTGAAACTCACACTGAGGATACAAAGGGAATGCTATATTTGTACGAAGCTTCTTTTCTTGCAACAGAAGGTGAGAGTGAATTGGAGCAAGCAAGAAATTGGACTGAAAAACACTTGAGAGAATATTTGGAAAATAAAAATAATGACCAAAATGTGGCTGAATTAGTGCACCATGCTTTGGAACTTCCATTGCATTGGAGGATGTTGAGATTAGAGGCAAGGTGGTTCATCAATTTTTACAAGAAAAGACAAGACATGATTCCTTTATTGCTTGAGCTGGCTATCCTTGACTTCAACATTGTTCAAGCAGCTCATATTCAAGACCTAAAATATGTGGCAAGGTAATAGATTACTCCACTGGAAATTAAACAGGACTTTGCCTTTTCATTGTCATGTTTAAATTCTAATTCATTAGATATGGAAAAATAGGTGGTGGAAAGAAACAGGTTTAGCAGAGAATCTGCCATTTGCTAGGGATAGATTAGTGGAGAATTTCTTTTGGACAATTGGAGTAAATTTCCTTCCTCAATATGGATACTTCAGAAGAATTTCCACAAAGGTAAATGCTTTAATAACCACAATAGACGATGTATATGATGTTTTTGGTACTCTGGATGAACTACAATGCTTCACTCATGCCATTCAAAGGTAACTAACACTACCTCGTATTTTCGAATGTTAAAATTTGTTAAAACATAATTAATTTGCAGCCAATTTTTATATCTTGTAATAAAAAATTTAGATGGAATGCCGACGACCTCCCAGACAATATGAAGATGTGTTATTTTGCACTTGACAACTTTATTAATGAAGTGGCTTGTGATGCTCTCATTGTACCCTATCTAAGAAATGCGGTAATTTTTAAATGCTGTAATTTTTTCTTTTATCTTTCTGAAATGTTTCCCTTTCTTGATATGTATTATTACCTGATGAGTCAAAGTTAATAATACTATGCCACGGTATTAATTTTCAGTGGACAGATTTGTGCAAATCTTACTTAAGAGAAGCAAAGTGGTACTTTAGCAAGTATATTCCAACCATGGAAGAATACATGGACAATGCCTGGATTTCGATATCAGCTCCAGTTATATTAGTACATGCCTATTTCCTCATTGCTAACCCTGTAAACAAGGAGGCTTTGCATTACTTAAAGAATTACCATGACATAATTCGTTGGTCAGCCTTGATTTTGCGGCTCGCGAATGATTTAGGAACATCATCGGTATGTAGAACTCTCCTTTAATATTTGGACACTATCAATGTATTTTGATCTGTTATAGTTGAAGGATATCTGCCTTATTTTCCAGATTAGTAATTCAATTATTAAGTGCAGTTGCCTGCTGTTTTATATAGATGGCGACGATTTACCAACAATGCTTTTTCTATTGCTTAATGTAGGAAGAGTTGAAAAGGGGTGATGTACCCAAATCAATACAATGTTACATGAACGAAAAGAAAGTTTGTGAAGAAGATGCTCGACAACATATTAAGCTTTTGATTAGTGAGACGTGGAAGAAACTGAACGAAGCTCATAATGTAGCAGCACACCCCTTCCCTAAGATGTTTGTTACGAGTGCTATGAACCTAGCAAGAATGGCACAATGCATGTACCAGCATGGTGATGGCCATGGCGGCCAGAATTCTGAGACTAAAAATCGCATCATAGCATTGCTCTTTGAATCTATTCCTCCAGCTCACCAACTAAAAGCCTTTTCTAATATTTGACTCATTGCAAATGAAGATGTTTTTCCACTATCCAGAGTGCTGTATATCATACGAGACCTGTCTCTGTTGAAAGAGTGCAAATGCATTGTATTCATACAACAATAACATTCATATCAACAAAATAGATTCGGAAGTCGTTTCTCCAATGAGAATAGGTAAGTATGAATTGATACAGGACTTGGGACCATATGCTTGACTGCTAATGCAGCAGATGTTCCAATAGTTACCTTTCTTTTTATGCTGGGGACATCATTATGTGTCGCTTTTAGATGAACCTGGTTCTTTTGAGAATTTGCGCCATCGTTCTTTGTTCTTTTCCACTGAAGCAGAATTCTGAACAAACTCGGAGAGTCCTTGCCTGAAAGCCCCTAAATTTACCCCTTTGCCCACTAATATGCTTGTGACACCCATTTTTAAAACCTGAAAAACACTGCTTTAGCGTACTACTTTGATTTAGACCAACAAGTGATGTTATTATTTGAATCAACTGAAATGCATGATACAATTAGCAAAGAGTGATTATACCGCCTGTATGTTCCGATTTTCATCATCAAAAAACAGCATGTCATTATAGGGCACCGCCGTCTTCCGGTTGATTTTCTGAAAGTGTTCTGTCTTATGTGTCCAACTGGAGAATATCTCCTGTAGCATTAAGTAATCAGCATAATGACCTCACGGTAAGCAGCATCAGTCATCAGATAAAAGTAAAACAACCAAAACAAGTTTAACTACCTTATTTTTGGAGCACCTTGGGTAAAGTAAAATATTTAAGCTCTCCTAGCCCCAAAAGCGAGGATAACTCAATTCATGTAAGATATAAATACATTCCTAACCCTACATAGGAGGTGCTTAGAAGACCGACCAAACCACCAAGATCAGTCAAATCTGAAGATGCCTTCTGAGCCTAGTTTGGCTTAGAAAGTGTTGAACTGTAGTAAACAGCAAAATAAGTATTTTATATATATGCAGGGCAAAATCTAAAAAGTGAAATCGGGGACAAAATGTTGCTACGTTGAAAACTTTCTCAAATTGGAACAATAAACTATATTTTGAAATATACATAAATGAAACCATCAAGCTATACACTAGCGAACAAAAACCTCTGAATGTAACTGCAACAGTTTGCTAAGGTTATAAGGGGCTTTTTAAAGCATCATTCATTTCTATTAGAATTTAACTTCTTCATAGCTCATAGCATATGGATAACATAATTATGGACCTACTATTTTCTTTGTCTTTCTCTCTTCCAACCTACTATTCCCACTCCTCGACCATGTAAAGAGGGGTTGCGAGGAAGTCAACTACAAAACAAGGAGGCAGATGAGCTAAATTGACAGCAGTAATAGCTATTGTCAATAAAAATTGCAGGTTATCGTAGCATTATAGAAAAACGATGAAAAGAGATGCTGAGATTTCCACCATCTCACCTGAGCTACAAACATTGGTTTTATCCCCAATTTTTTAAGGAAAGCGTTTGCTATGTCTGGAGTGGGTGATCGTGAGGCAATAGCAACATTAACTCCCTTGTCCTTGAGGGCATGTAAGATACCTTTGGCCTGAGGATACATAGATGGTTTTTCATTTATGGAGCGGCATTCACTGAAATACAAAGCAGACACAAAAATGGTATTACGAGTACTCCAAGACCAAGTTTAAGCAAAATAACAAGCTCTCTCTTTCTTTCGGATAGATAACAAGGGATGATGAGATATAGAAACAGTGGCACAAAGTTGTCGCAAGCAATGTTAACTTGGAGTAGACTTGAACTAAATTAAAGGCCTCGGGACAAGAAATAGAATTCATACATCCTTGGCTTTAGAAAATTATGACCTCAAAATTCTGTTCTTACAAATAAAAGCCACATATCCACCGACCCCGACCCCCATCCCCATCCCCACCCCCCACCCCCTCTTCAAATTTGAAGCTAATTGCCTATTTTCCAATACTGCAACCACGCAAAGAACAAGAAATCAACTATATTTCCAATCTCAAACTAGTTGAGGTCGGCTATATATGAATCAAGTGTATCCAATTAAGCTCTAATTCGGCCCAACAGCATATAGAGAACACAGGATAAAAAAATAAACAAATGAATAAAGAAAAGAAGCTAAAGCAGTTCCAAGAGTGCGAAAGGCAGCGCGAATCAATTACTCTAAAAATGAAAAGAATAGTCAAAACTGAGCATCCGATAAATCCAGCAAGATCAATAAATTGGAAAAAAAAAACTGATAAAAAAGAGAAAATAGATAATAAATCAACAATAATAGGAATAAAGGAAGATAGAAATTGGGTGGGTACCAATAAAAAGGCCAGAGAGTATAATCGAGATCGAAGACGACGAGACGAGGCAGCACTTGGAACATTCCCATTATCTCCATTGCTTCATTCTTCACCTTTTCGTCTCCCATCTCTCCCGCATCCACGCTTTCCGTGCCGCCAACACCCTCTTTTATCTACCAATACCAACAGAGGAGTATGTTTGGCTAAGCTTATAAGTCATAACCACTTTTTGGCTTATCTATGCATTTGGTAGAAATTAAAATACTTATAAGTTAAATGTTTATAAGTCAAAAATAAGTCAAAAACCATAAGTTGGTGTCCATTAACTTATCAAATTTCAGCTTATAAGCACTTTAGGTTTGATCGAAATATTTACTATTTTATCCCTAAAATATTTTTTTAAAACAAAACTCTTCGTATACCCAATTCTTCAGCTGTTTATTATTAATTTCAGCACTTTTATCCAAATACATAACTGCTTATTTTTTAAATCAGCTTCAGCACTTAAAAGTGTTTTTCAGCACATAATGTTTATCAGTTACTTTAAATCAGCTAAGCCAAACGAGCTCTAAGTCTTCTTTTTTTCCGTCTCTGCGAATAAGTATTAAGTGGCTTTCAGTATTTTGATTATTTAGAAAAAAGTATATTCTACTTATTTATATATTATATAGAGAGTTTGAAACTTTTTTGATGTTTTTTTTGGACAAAAATTATGTTTCTAATGCTAAAAAAAAGTTACATAACTAGGTAAAACGCAGTACTACTTTAACGAAAAGTTAGCCGTTAAAGTAAAAAAATGCAGTATAGTACTGCATATTATTTAAAAATTATTTTTTTAAACTAATTCGCACTACTATACTGTGTTTTACTTAAATGCAGTACAGTACTGCGTTTCACTTATTAATTTGGGTCCAGCTATATTTTATTAAAGCAATTCGCAGTACTATACTGCGTTTAACTAAAACGCAGTATAGTACTGCGAATTGCTTTAATAAAATAAAGCCCCTTCTTCTTCCTTGGACAATGACAGAACCGAGACTCCCCCATTAAAAAATTTTCGAGCACTGCTGGTCCCCCCCACCCCTCCCCCGTGTCAAAGTTAAAAAAAAAAATTTGGGCCCCACCCATCACCTAAAGAGCAAGGAGTGTAGGTCCCACACACAAGACAAGCTTTGGATTCCTTCTTTCGG